CACCCAGGGCCCCTAAGCCCACCACAGCCCAGCACCCCCTTGGGAAAGCAGAGCCCTGGGGTGGGACTCCAGGGCTCGAAGGGGTTCAAAGCCCTCCCAGTTTCCCCAAAGGCCACTATAAAGGGATCTGAGGAAATTTAAGAGGGGACAAAGCCTTCAGGATGAGGAGAGCAGCGGTCATGACTCACAGTAGATTTGGGGCTCCCATGGCTCCAGACTTGCTTCCTGAATTAAGAGGACCTGAAACCTTTTTCTAGAGCATGACAGAGGCTCCTTCCCCTCCCAAACAACCCCATGGCTATCTTTTTTCCACTCTTATTAGCGGGATGCAGTAGACCACAACCTAAAAGCCCTGCTCAAAAACCAGTCTGGTTCCATCCCTCTCCAAGCCACAGGAGGCACCAAAACTGGTGCACGGCACTGATCGAACACTGCTTTTCTTCTGACCTCAGGAAAAGTTGTGGCCTTAAAGAGGACCAATTCCATGCCCCAGCCAGTTCGCTCCCTTCAAGGCTGAGTAAGAGGAACCAGCGCTGAGTTCCTCCAAATCTCAACAGCAGTGGCAGCGGGAGGAGAGGAACAGCCTCCCAGGGAAGGGCTCTTCTACAGCTCACTCACAAAGTGTATTTAAAGGCGAACACGGCAGGACTGCAGCATTTTCAGATTTAATAGCAAGCCTGCACTCATCAGCACCAGCTTAGACGCGGGGCATCGGAGGCAAGAAGTGGGCGAGTACATGAAATAGCAGAGGTGGACACGACGCGCAGCTGGGCACAACAACAGGACTAAAGCCCTAAGTGATGTCATCTGCAAGAAGCTAAATGCGCTGTGAATAAAGGGAGCCTGCAGCCAGTATTTCAGCCTTCCTTTGCAAGGCTATTTTTGCTTAGATTGCCAAAATGTAATTACAACTAAATCCCCCCTAACAAATACCACAGAGCAGCAGGGGAGAGTTGTATTTAAAAGGAATTTTAAGTAGCAGCCGTCATAGTACCTGATCGCAGCATGGAAAACAAACTGCGCCTGGAAAAGAGCATTTGGTTGAGAGCTGGTGACAAGTGGCAAGAGCAGGAATAGGACCGTGGGGTCTCGAGAAACACAAGAGAAGGATGTCACCACAGCCTGGGGAACCTGCTCCCTGCCCAGGCAGGTGCCAGCAGGCACAAACTGCCTGACCACAGGGAGCAGTTAAGTCATCGCTGCCAGTGTGCTGAATGTTTCTAGAGACAGCCTAGGACTGACACCCTCAACGTGGAAATCAAATCCTTCAGAAGACAGTATTTTAAACCGTTTTCTCTGCCAGTCCTGGCTGCTTTCAGTTTAGACTTCAATAACACGAGGAATTTGCAATTGGAGACATGAGGCTGAAGGTCTCCTGGTCCCCAAGGCTGGTAATTGTGCCAGACACGGGCCACTAGTTCTGCAGTCATGATCAAATTGGCCCAAGCAGCCCCTTCTCCTGGGGGACTGCGCAGAGCACGTAGGGCAGGAGATGTGTCCCATCTCTGGCCGCAGCCTCCCCTCCTGGGCTCGATGCAAAGGCTTTATTAAAAATAAAAAGCAATTTTGCAATTCCTCAAGGAAAAGGGGAAAAGGCTGGAGCTGTTAATGAGTACAATTAGTGTTGTAGTCAAACAGAATCAGAAGAAATAATTAGCTCCTATTGTTTCAGTGGCATCTGAATTGCAGCCATGCTGGCTTTCCAGGCAACAACTCATCAGTCTAGTGTCACCCCAGAGGACAGCAGACAGGGGGTCACTCGCAGCCCCTCTTCTGGTCACAGCTCTCACGCAACCATAAGCAGAAGCCTGGGCCATCGCTCTCTTCTGCTACACCCACTGGTGGTCCAGTTTCCCAGATGGCCTGAGACTTGCAAACCTCAGTGCACCCCAGAAGCACACGCAGCCCTTCGTTCACCCTTTCCCTCAGATCCAACACAGGGCAGCACTGCTGGCTCTCCATCGAGACAGCCAGAATCAAGGCAACTAAGTGACATCAAACACCTCTTTGTCCTAGTTTAAGGCAAGCTTGCATCCTTCTCCCCAACAAACAGGGCTGGGCGCAAGGCACTGCTAACCAGGCAGTATGACGAAGGGGCAAAGACAAAGTAAGTAATTTTTTAAGCAAGATGTTACATCTCTAACTCCTTTGCCCATGTAACTCCAGAAATACAGGGAAGTTTGGCCACCACTGGCACCTGGGGTGCTTTGCTGCTTCATGTAGGTGGGCAGCTCAGGGGAAGATGCTTTATGGAGCTGGCAGAGGCAGGCCTGGGGCCTGACCACAGCCTAAAGAAATACCATCCGATGGATTTTTAGACAGAGCCAAAAAAAACAGAGAGACTGAAAGAAACAAAGAGACCCAATAATTTATTGGCAGAGCTGAAAGGGGGCATTTGAAAACCATAGGGCTGACTCTCAACTGGGAAGCTCCTCCCAGCTGCAGAGAGATTTATAATACTGGTATCCCTCAGCAAAAGGCTCTGACGTTGCGGCAGAATCCCAGAGATCCTGCATGCCATGTAGAGAAAGAGAGGAAAGTGCTGCAAGATGCGGCCCCAAGGGCACGCTGCTAATTGAAAGGTTGGCCTCCCGCCCCACTGCTAAAAAAAAGTTTGTGTATGACAAAATCAGCCTCTATTGTCACCGCTGCTGGAGGGCTTCAGATGGATCCTTCCTCCAAGGAGGAGTGCGAGAGAGTGGCCCATGAGTCCCTTCAGAGGTCGGAGGGCACTGGTGGAGACCTCTCAGTGCTTTCAACGCGGAGAGAGGAGCTTAGTGCCAACTCTTGTTCTCACAATGTGATTTTTGTGTTTCGAAAGCTTGAATTATCCCTGGAAAACAGAGGGAAGAAAAAGGTTAAAGGCATGCATTCCTTCAGATCACAGCACCCCCCAAGTCCACCCACCGTGGCTACCAGTGTAGCCACCCCAGTATGTCACTCAAATCAATGCTCATTAAACCTCCTAAGCAAATCTGCTTTCTAACTAGAGACTTTTCACATACGTCAACCTGCTGCTCCAGAACACTTGGAACACAGGGAGATCCTCGTTCATCCCCATCCATCAAGAAGGAAAAGGGGTGAGCGAAGCACATGATAGACTCTGGAAACCTCCCTGATAGATTCTGGTGTTTAAACAACTTGCAAGATCTCTTCCTTCCCAAATATTTGTCCTCAGGGACTCTGCTTGGAGCACAAATACACCGTCAGTCCAACCTCCTCCTGCCCCTGTCCCTCATATTTAGGCTCCTTTTATCATGCTGTGAACAAGTTTAGCTCTCTGGTCCCTCATACCTTAAAAGCATATCTAATCTGAAAAGGACATTTCCCTCAAGTTTAAATAGAAGTACAAGAGTTTCTTCAGCAGCTTTTACTCACATGAGTACACCCGCATGAGTCGCAGGGGCTACTGACAAAAAAAGGACTGCTGGTCCACAACCTTCATTTGTATAGTCTTGCGGTACACAGCAGCAATTGGAAGATAGGGCAGGTTACAGAAACCTGTGTGAATGTTTACTGCTAGCCTGTGAGCAGCAGCAATAGGCAAAGCATATTTACACATTAATAGAAAGGTGGTATGCTTTTTTAAAACTCAAACAGAAATAAATGAGATTACAATTATTTTGAGAGGATAGGTTTAACAGCTCTTCCCATAACAGGGACGGTGCAGTAAGTTGCCGAAACCAAACATCTAGGGATGCCCCAGCACATATCACACCAAATTTGCAGAGCTGTGTTGAAGAGTAAAGGCAGCCACTTCAGAAGCAAGGTGTTCTGCAGGACTGTAAAATCCTGCTAAAACCCTCGAGCTAGCATTGTGTGCTGCTAAGAACCACACAGTAGCTGTAACATCACAGCACAGTGCATCCTGGAATACCTCCAGGAGGCAGGCTGGAGAGCTGGAGGAGGAGGAAGAAGTAAAAACACTCTTTAGAGAGTTAAACAAGTTACTCTGCTATGACATGACAGCAAAAACCATGCTGGAGGCCACCTGCGGAAGACTAGGGTTTACCTTTGCACTTGTCAGGAAAGTAGGCTGTGCTGCCATTTGGGAACATGGTTCAGGATTCATTAACTGGATTCCAGTTAATTTGTAACAATGGTTTGGCTTTCTCTCCCATACTGCACTTTTACCTGTGCCATCTACCTCAGGAGGACAGGACACTTTGGTTAGTTCTTTCTCGGACAGGTTTCTACATTTCCCCTCCTTTTGCCTTTACTGGGGTGCTCCAGGCCCTCTGCTCATCACTACTCTCCCTGCTCAGCATAGGTAACCCAATACAGTTGAAAGCTACATCAACTATGCCACTGTTTTCCTGTACACTTGGCACATTTACTGCCTTCTGAGACTGGTATTTCATGAAGCGAGCCGGTTTCCTCTTCTGGAAGATCACCTGAATGTCATCTAACAATAACAACACTACTAGGTGCCCATGTAACATTTTGTAACCATTGATCCTCACAAAAAGCCAAACCTGTGAGGATAGACAGATATTACTTTCACCCATTACTTCTGAGCAAGCTATGAGAACACTGCTTGCCCAAAGCTGTGGAGGGAGGTTTTGGGATCCCCAGTGGCCCCTCAGAGCTTGGTTGTGTCGGAGCAGCTACCCACCACCATGGGGTGGGAACCGGGCAATGTAACAGCGGGTTCCTCTGCTCTGGCACTCGGCAATGCAGCAATCCCACTTGGCTACAACCAAACGCAACTCTCATCGCCAGGTCACCTACTAGCCCTTTTTAAGGAAAGGGCCTGCCATCAGGGAAGTGGGTACTGGAGGGGAAGAACAATCTGAGCTGCGAGGCCCACAACAGCCCCGAGGCTCACCTTGGCTGTTTTCTCTGCACATGGTCAGTTGCCACTACCAGAAGTAGCAGGTGGTTTCATCTCATTAGCCACAGTGTTATTATTTCTAAATACAGTAGCTACTGTGTGTCCTTCCTGAACAAGCCATTATTGACAGACTAATTTATTCTGCTCCACCCCACTGTCAAGAGCAAAGGCACATGCGCCAAGCTCCAGGTGCCTCTCTCGGCGTCCATCACATGGATGTGCTTAGCATTCATTTACCACTCCATACCTGCTTACAGTCAACCCTAGTCAACAGACCCAAGCTGAAGACATACCTCTCAGCCTCCTGGGACCAGGTCTGAGATACAAGTGCCTTGCACAGAGGAAGGACACATTAGCAAAATAGCACACAGCATCACAACAGAACATGTGTGAAGAGACCACTGTGAATGTTGGTGTGTGCGGTCAAAAAAAAAAATTTAAAAAATCATTTTGACCTTTGGGAAAGAGCCAATAGATGAATGGGTTCCACTACCAGGTCCATAAGGCAAAAGAACACGCCAGCCCACAGGAAGAAGGTTGGAAGCTGAGAGGTATGCCATGAAGTCACATAGGAAGAAAGATGAGGCCCTACCCTGGGTGTGACAGAGGGAGGGGGAGCCTTCGATCAGCGGCCACTGCTGTTCACCAGGCCATGAAACTCCTCCCGGGCCCTGGAAAGCCAGAGGGAAAAAAAAAAAAAAAAAAAAGAAACAACAAAAAAACAGCACTTCAGATCAAAGGCTTCTTAACTTTTTAACGAGAGCAGAAACATTCAATGGCGTTTGAAAGGCACTTGTCTTCAGAGAGCAAGGCAATATTCTCCGATAGCCCTAGCGGATAGAAGCATCCTTAAAACCCAGCCAAACATCTGACAGCGCGAGGCAGCTTTAACGTTCTGCACAGACATGAAGCGTTCCCACTGGCTGCTGGTGATATAGCTACATTAATACCCAGAGACAGGTATGACCTTCCCAGTTACAAATGGAATATCCATTCCCTATTGCTGATAAAATAGCCGATGTTACGTCTTTCTGGAGGATTGTCACGTTCCTTGGCTGGTTAAACTCAGCCAGCTACTGACCTCATGCTTCACCACGTATCCGCGTATGTAGTAATCCCCCCAAAATGGGCTTCTTTTAATGCCACACAGCTTAGTCATTACAAAATTCTTCGATCAGGCAGCAGAATCCAATTGTTATTAGAAAGTCTCATTTCCTATTGTAAACCTGCATTGTTAATGACGACCCAGTAAAAACATTACAGCTATTTGAAATGAAAATGTTTTCAGATAAGTTAGAGGGACAGGCCTAATGCTGCATTCCCCGGGAGAGAATGTTACTGACGGACGAAGCTAGCAGACTGAAAAATTGCTGTCTGTTTTACGAAGGCAGCATACTGAAAGCCCTCTCAGGGAAGAGATGCTGAAGTTAATGTGAGTATGACTATTATCTTCTGGGATCAGAGACATCAAAGAACCTCACAGTTCTCCATGCCCAGCAAAACAGTGCTGGTGCCTACAGCACATGCCAAGTCATTTACTGAACCCAGAGAGTCCCATGGAGCTGGAGGGACCTTAAAGGGAACCCAGGTCAGTCACAAACCCAGACCACCCTGCAAATTTTGTTGCTGCTACTTAGCAGCTACCTCACATCTTGTTTTCTGCATTGCCTCATCAGGCCACTGCAACACAACAGAAGAGTCCAGAAATGGAAATCTTGTATTAGTCAGCATCTGTGCCAAAACCAGACCACCAGCCTGGCTCTTACCTGAGCCTCACAAAGTCAAGCTCCCAGGCAGCATTTGCAAAAGCAGCTCAGGTGTCACATGCTCTTTCCCAGCAAAGTCATAGCCCAAATAAACAGAGAGTACACTGGCAGAGTGCCTGTCACGTGCATTCTGCAGGACTGTAACCAAAAACAGGCAGTCTTGCTGGGAACTCAAAACGAGCACAAGCAAGAAGCTTGTCACTGTGGTGTACAGCTTGGAATTTGTGACTGTGTCTTCCCAGACCACAGGACAGCAAATCCATCTTTTGAAAGCGCTGAGGGCGAAATCCTAAAGATCACTGACTTTAGCACCACTGTTACAAGCCTAGTGAGTGGCAAAACACTCCAGGTCTTCCCAGTTCAAAACTGCTCTGCAAAACTCCCAAGAAGCAACTAAATCTCCATAGCCCCCCAAGGCACAGGCCCACGTGAACTACCAAGGTGATCAGCTGGTCTACGACAGACCTCATCTATGGCAGGCTAGGTTTTCTCCTCAGTCTCCCTCCATCCATGGTAGCTCAAAATCCTCCTGATCTTGACAAGGACAGACAAGGAAGTAACAGTCACCCATGGGAGTCCCAAAGCTACGTGGCATCTCTAGCTGACCCTCAGACATGAACCCCTGAAGCCAAAGGAAATGTGAGGGAGAAAGACAGCAAATGGTGCTGTAGATGCCACAGGACAGCACGCAGGACACAGCCATGATGCATTAGTACAGCAGGTCAAATCTGCAGTTCAGGTTGACATACAGCAGTATGCTGCTTGGATGAGAAAAACCTACAAGTGGCTCATTCTAAGCAAGGCAGCAGCACAGAAGCCCCTAAATGGAAACTTTCCCCCCCAGGTCTCCCCAGATACAGCGTCCTTCAAGGCCATAAGACCAAGAAATCTTCCAGAGAAAGGAAAACTGCTCATGTCACCCAGTCCATGCATGGTACTAGACACTGTGGGTACAACTGCCTCCCTCCAGAAGGAAGTTAGCGGGAAGAGAAACTCTGGATCTGAAGCCCTCTTAGCTTCTGATTATAGATTGGAAAGCTATGTACATCTCTGGACTTGTCAAAAAGTCTCTGCCCTCATGCCTTCCCTCCAACCTCCCACATCTTGTCCTTCTAGCACATTTCCATCACCCATAATCACATCTTCTCTCTTTCCTCCCCGACAACTCTCCCCAAACTCCTAACTTCTGTTCTCTGCAGAAGGGACACAAGGGCAGATTATTTGTCAACATAA